ATGAATTCATAACTGAGATTGTTAGTGGCTGTCCCTTCACAGAGGGTTGAAGTATCGTAAAACAATTGTCCCCCTGCGAAGATACGTAAGTCCGGTATCATTCAAAGTATTTTTTTCATTTCTCTGTGATTTTAATCACAGTATTTTTGTTGATTTTAACTGTTTGGATAATCTTTCTGATCATCGTCAGTGGCCAGGGGGATGGTGTAAATCCCTCTTGGGTGCCATGTAGGTAGCAGAGTGAGTGAGTGAGCAATATTCCAGCAATATCACGGCGGGGGACACTAGAAATGGGCTTCACACATTGTACCATGTGGTAAATCGAACCCGAGCCTTCGGCGTGACGAGCGATCACTTTAACCACTAAGCTATGCCATCGCCCCTGTAGGTAGCAGAAGTACCCCATGGTCCCTGGTATGTTGGCCTAATTTTGGTTGCTGACGATCTACAGCCCGTTTTGTTATTGTATCGTCTGTTATAATCTGATTATTTTATTGTTCTAGAACTAGTTTTACAATTATAATCTGTGATATATTGCTAGTTGTTGTACTGTCCTTCGACAACAGGTTTATATATATATATAATACACTCACGTGCAAAAGAAACGTCTCCAAAGTTAGAATTATATTATAATTGTTGAAGATAGTCAAAAACATGAAAAACAGTTCGGGACACATTGCCCAAACACACCAATGCATAGTATCTCAAGGGCATTCACGTGTTGCATTTTATTCAGTGAAATTCCCTGCACGTGCAGGAAATCACCCGTATGAAGATCGGTTATAAAACCCGTTGGAAACTGTTCTTTGCAATCATCAGCGTCTGATAAACCCGCAGAACATGCCTGGATTAAGCGGTTGACCAAATGTCACCATGCCACAAGAAGACCGTTATCTACGTGCGCTTCATTTAAGGAACAGATTCCTCACTGTGACGTCATCATCAGCGCATAGCCTGGGTCATCGTGTCAGCAGGTGGACAGAGCCTATAAACCGTTCAAGTGCATGACGTTAACGCTGGAATATCGACATCGAAGATTTGCATGGGCAAGACGAGTTCGTCAGTGGCAGCAACGAAACTGTCAAAGAGTCCTTTTCAGCGACGAGAGTAGGTTCCAGTTGAACAGAGCTGACGGACGAAGACGTGTCTACCGCCGGCGTTGGGAACGGACGGCACGTTGTTGCGTTCAGGAAACGGAACCATATGGTGGAGGGAGTGTGATGGTTTGGGGAGGCATTTGTGGGAACACCAAGACCAGCCTCATTATCATCGATGGCAACCTGACAGCCCGTCGGTATATTGATGAAGTTCTGCAGCCCCATGTCCCGCCTTTCCTCCAGCAAAATCCAGGAACCATGTGTCAGCAAGACAATGCCACACCACACACCGCAGCTGTCACAACGGCCTCTCTCAACGCCAACAACGTGCCCGTCCTGCCTTGGCAAGATCCCCTGACATATCTCCGATAGAACACTTGTGGGACTATCTTGGACGTCGGATTCAACTGCCACACCCTCCGTTGACGAGAAATGCACTGGCTCAGGCACTGCAGAGAGAATGGCGTCCGATCCCCAATCACGTGATCAGAAGACTTATACACTCGGCCCGACGACGTGTTCTGGCATGTATCGACGCTAGGGGCTGACATACGCGGTATTGACGTTACGTCAATCATTGTTTCATGGAAGAAGATCGGTTCGGGGCGGCAGCGTTATGGTATGGGGTGGGATTGCAGCAAGACAGAGGACCCGTTTGATAGTGGTAGAGGGAAATCTCAAGGGACAGCGCTGCGGTGACGAATTCATCGGCCCTGTTGTTCTTCCGTTTTTGCGTCGTCATGACCCAGGCATTACCTTTCAACATGACAACGCTTGGCTTCATACTTGTTCAGGATTTTCTTCAAGAAAACAACGTGAATGTCATCCCCTTGCCGGCTCGCTCCCCTGATCTCTGACCAATGGAGCACATATGGGATGAGATTGATCGGCGCCTTCGACGTCAACCACGTGTTCAACAGACACTCCAGGAACTTCGAAACATGCTCCAGCAGATATGGACAGATATCCCACAGGATTGAGACGCCTGGTCCATTCCATGGGACGAAGATGGGTTGCTTGCATCGCAACCAGAGGTGGACACACACGCTATTGACTTTTAAATTGACATTTTGGTATGTCCATGTTTTTTTTATGAAATCACGCATTTTCTGAAGTCAGTATGGCAAATTAAACCATTTGAACACTTACAGGAGTCTTTTATCTGTTGCAAACCGAAATTGTTTCAGATTTGGTGAAAAACATAACTTTGCATTAAATCTTATTCAATGTCACAGGAAATTTTGTTGTTCGGTACATGTGTAGAGTTCTTACACCCCAACTAAACATATAACAGACAGATGTATTTTTGATGGCAGTATCTGAGTTATTGCCTTAAATTGGTTTTCCAATATGGTGAGGAGTTGTGTGGTGAAGTGAAATTGAGTTTAACGTCGCATACAAGACTATTGCACTATATAGCGACGTTCAAGCACGTGTGTGTATGTGTGTGTGTGTGTGTGTGTGTGTGTGTGCGCGTGTGTGTGTGTGTGTATGTTTGTGTGTGAGGTTGCCTGTTCTACTCCGAACTAATGCCGATTTGATAGTGTTAGCCCACTGAAACACCATGTCGCAGTTTAACATGAATACCCTACTCAGACACAGTATACTGACTTCGATCCGACCAGTACTTGCTTTAGCCCCCTAATGCCGAGCGCCAGACAGGGTAACAACAAGTACAATGTGCCATCTTTTTACGCTTTTTGGTATGGCGTGAGCGGGGATCGAACCCTCGAACTTCCGCTCTCGGCGCGACGGACGCTCTACCACTTCGCCTTTTTTCCCTTCACGCCGAGCAATATTTCAGCAGCATTTCACAACTTTTGAGATACAGTCGGGCATTCTCTTTCCAATATGATTTCAGATAGTGTCACACAACTCTTGCTCAGAAGTTTCTCAGAACATTCAAGGCCCAAGTAAAGCTTTAAAAACGTTTTATGGCAGACATGCCGATGACATTTTCAAATTTGACACATAAATGACAAAAAGGATGTCCGATGCAATTCCTTAATTTTACTTGTACCATATGTTCCCGTTTTTTTTCACGTGAACAATTGACTTGCCTTTGCATGTGTTTGTGACGGGCGCCACCGGTGGGGTAGGATACGCGAACCTTTTCACCTTTGATAGTGATTCATAAACACAAGCTCTTGATGTAGTCGGAGTCGTACAATCGGCTCTGCTTTATTGATGTGGAAAGGATTTGTTTGCTTTATTCCAATATGGCCACTGTGGCAACTATAATGGAAATCGGATTCAAACCCTTTAAATAAATTGTGGTATTTTATTGGTGGTTAAACTGAGTTGAATCATGTGTCGCGATGCTTATTGAATTTATTTTTGTACTTGCGTAAGAAAAACATGAGTTTTGAGCAAAGGAAAATATTCTCCCCCAAGGGCCACTCTTCGCCCATGAGCCTGCCCATGAATTAAGTTAAAATGAGTTGAATCTTGTGTCACGCTGCTTGTGGTCAAACATTTATGTATTTGCCAAAGAAAACATGATTTTTGAGCAAAGGAAAATATTCTTCGCCCATGAGCGAAATATTTAAATAACGCCACAAATTAGTTGAATTAAGTTAAAATGAGTTGAATACTTTGTCACGACGCTTGTGGAATTGTATTTGCCAAAGAAAAACATGAGTTTTTAGCAAAGGAAAATATTCTCACCCATGGACGACATAGTTTTCAGTTTAAAAAAACCCCAAAACTTTGTACATTTTTTCTTCCTTTTTATGTACCCATGAAAACATATCTTTGTAAATACCTTTGACAGAGACTGGCCACAGCATGGAGAGTTTCTGGACAAATAGGTTTCCAGAATTAAAATGGGACGTCTCATATATATGTATTTAACTGGTACACTTATCGAGGGTGAAGTATTGTAAACTATGCGAGGAACTGCTAACATCTGTTCAGGAAGTTAACCTATACCGGGCCAGTATCAGTGTGGCCCACTTGTGCCATGCCAGCATTGGATCAGTAACGGTTAAAGATCATGTAGTGTCAACCTAACAAGGCAAACTGTACGCCGGCATTAAAGAGTAACCAGTATCGGCACATTACGGCACATGACGGCACATTACCACCTTATAACGTTAATATTGACCTAATAATGCAATGTTAACTGGGTAATGGAGGTCGTTAATATTTGATTTGGTGAAACCTTTGTAAGAACATACGCATGGTGCTGACGAGCCAAGGATCATAATCAGGATCAATTTCAAATTCGAACGCACGATAAACGGGTCATCGCGCACCTAACGGACGCATCTTAGACTGCTCGATACTTGAGTTACAAAGAGTCGTGTTTAAGTTTAATTGTATACATTTTAACCATACTTACTTGCGTGGGCTGTCCCAAATGGTAAAAACATGACACTCACTCAGTGACCAGTAGAAGTCCCCATAGCAGGGGCCTGAACACAAGTTTGTCATCGCTGATGAAAGACACACACACCGACTCCACTTTCTGTGACTCCTGAAAAAAGGAAACACATGCCAATAACACACAATTTTTCAAATTACATGTCATGACATTACAATAACAAACATATACTTTACACAACTTCTAAAATATGATTATTACCTGTGCCATTGTGTAACGAATTGCATCGAGCCCCACACGTTCTTCATCGACATCTACACTGCTGAATCATGATTAACACGCATGGTACGTCCTGCCATCTGGCACACCAGCTGCTACCCACTAGTATAGGCTGCCTCATCGTCAAAGCAGTCAATCATTTCACCTGTCATCATTTGTACGCCCCCTTTCCGATTTCTGAATACAATTTTCCGCCTAAAGCATTCTGGCTGAAGAGTCCACGTCCCTGAACAATGCAAATTTTGCAAGCATGCGCACATCATATTTTAACAAGTTTATGAAGATGACAAGCATATGAACTACATATTATAATATTTACTATGTTCACGTAGCGTCTGTTCGGAAAAGCTTCGCAACTAATAACATCAGTAAGTATGACAGATGTCACCGGTTGGGCAGGAATTGCTCACCATTTTGCATCATTTTGAACAAACGGAGTTAGATTTGTGTGCTGGCGCAGTGATGATATTCCTGGTTCATACTTGGTTTCAAATGCACAGTAAGATATTGCTATGTACCTGCCTCTTATACATACATTTCATTCCAGGATAATATGGCCATCAGGAGAGCAAGAAGATGTATTATGTGTGTGACAGTGGTAACAACATGCATCGTCGTATTCAGCTACAATTCTGCAACTGTACCAACAACCAGCACCCTGCCATCTTTCCCCGGTCCACAGCCACGGGGTGCAAAAGTACCAGCAACCACCAGCAATATCCTGCCATGGCCTACTGGCACACAGATAACAGAAACTGCCAGCAGCATACTCGACACAAATGAAATGAGGAGAAAAATAAAACTTTTTGATGTCATGATAACTGAAAAAGAGAAACGTTCCTTTGAAATCCTACTCAAAACGTTTATGAAAGCCGTAGCATCTAACGTCACATATTTTTTGTATTCTGGTTCCTTGCTTGGTTCTTATCGTCATCACGGCATGATTCCTTGGGATGATGACCTTGACGTTGTCGTGCGAGCTAAGGATGCACAACGATTGGTCACCTCACTGTCCAAACTAGCACCACATTTTATTATCAATCAAGATCGTTCTCGCAGATGGAAGTTTTACCATCGTTCATCTTATAATATACCTGAGCGTTCGTGGAAATGGCCGTCTATAGACATTAGCTTTTATAAAGAAAATAGGACTCACATTCGTGATTATGATCGAAGTTATCCTCGTTTTGCTTTTAAACGGACTGACGTATTTCCTCTAGGCAAGCGACCTTTCATGGGCCTCCTTCTGCCCACGCCGAGAAATACAAAAAGCGTCATACTGCAAACCTATAGTATCAGTGTCTGTCAGAATAAGCCCTATGATCACAGATGGGAGCGATCTATCCCTGCTAGCAAACAGACAACTCTGCAGTGTGACCTGTTGAAGGCCATCTATCCATTCGTTCGGCGGGAATACAGCTCTGATGGTACCATGGAGATTCTCGAGAGGAATAATACACGCATTGGAGAGTTCTTCCTCTATGACAGGGATTAAGGTAGTAAAGTCTATAACTAGAAATATGGTGAGGACTCAGCCATACTGCTGTTCGAAGGTAGATTCCCCATAAACTTTCATTAATTACTTATGTGAACGCAAATTACATTTGTTTCTATATATGACTCCTTTATCTTGCGTTCTCAACACGTTATAAACATGTATATGATACGTTATGAAACGTTATAACATGCTTATGAGCGCATTGTTATTTTATAATGCTTGCTTATATATTCTATATGTTAGGTCCACGAGAACACTACAAACATGCTGATTATTTCAATGTTTTCATAAACACCTCCAGCTATATATGAACTTTCATATATAGTTCAAATACAAAATATATTCTAAAAAATGATGTACAATGTACTAAAGATAACGTTGATTTTATCTGTATGATTGTCTACAAGCGTCTGGGAAAATACAAAGGCTTTGGACTTTATTCGAATAGCAGGTGCCATATGTTGAATATATTTTTGTTGCAAGATGTGCATGCTGTATATTTTCGATATCATGTTTGTTAGGTAGCCTCGATTTAAAAATAATATACCTGACAAAATTGTAATTGCATATTTATTGAATCAATAAATGGTCATTTTTCTATTTTCGTATTTTGAATAGGTCTACAATACTCGTCCAACAAGTAACGATTAGATATCCCGATTCACAATGATTGGGTAACCTCAGTAAAACCTTAATTTCAAGATGAACGGGCAGAGGCATGCAGTCATTGGAACTTTGTGCTAGTGTCTTAGCTTTTTTATAACACCAATTTCCGTCTTACTGTAAATTAATTTGAATATTCTTAAAGTGAACTCAATGAAGATAATGTACAAACTGACCGTCGCATACAATATATTTAATGTTTCGCACGTGCGGCTAAAACCTCGGTCACGCTTTGAGCTAGTGGCCCATTATGAAAGTCCACTAAGACAGGTTGACACAAAGGATCATTCTCGTGACCCGTGATTGACGTCACAAGATCGGCACACATTGTCAGTGAGGCTTTGAGAGAAAATCTCCGTGGTCTTGTGGAAGAGCCTCCGCCCAAGGAGAAGAAGGTCCGGGGTTCGGTCCCGGTCGCGTCGTACGAACAGACGTTGAAATATCGTACTTGTTATCATTCTGCCTGGCGCTGGGCATTAAGGGGCTAAAACAAGGGGCTTGGAGTCAGTATACTGTGTCCGAGCGGGATATTCATGGTATCTAAGTGTGCTAGCAGTATAAAACCGGCATAAGTCCGGACAAATAAAAGCAGCCACAGACACATATCGCAATATTAGTGCTATAATCTGGGACGCGGCGATAAACCTCATTTCACCTGACCTTATTCCCGGGGTAACAATTCATATGCATTTCATTTTCAATTGATCTCGATAAAGTACATCAGCATTATTATATGATACGACTGTACGACACCAGTCAGGCAATAACCCGCACCTGTTTATATTTGTCAAAGATTAGTATTCTACTTAATGTCACCTAATGACTGCTCGGGCTCCACTGAGTCAATGTCACACGTGGGAAGAAGAGGCCATCAAATTTGAACACACCTTGCCCAGATCGATGTCTTCCATTCATGGCTTGTTGTAAGTTGGGAATATGGTCAGTCATCTGGGGACCAGTTAGTGAACAAAGGGTTTCCAGTGAGCTGTCATTGTATTCAGTAGCTCGGAAACAGCTGTTGGTATCGACCGCTCTACCTGTATGGGTGCTTGTTGGTAGCGAGAAAGTTGTATGTAAACTCTCTGTGAGTGCAGACTGGTCAGACAAAAGTCAGTAATTTGGTAACACTTTCATATTTTAAAAGTTGGGTTTGTATATTAAAGATGGAATGACACGAGTATTGTGGAATATGACGTCATCGTGACCTGGCTAAAACAGTGTGTACCCTGAATCCATGGAACCTGACCTAAACACAATACCTCTGGGAAAACGTTTGTTTTCTTGTTTGTTGTTTAACACCGCACTCATTAATATTCCAAATATATAACGGCGGTCTGTAGATAAGCAAGTCTGGACCAGACAATCCAGTGGTTGACATCATGAGCATTGATCCACACAATCAGGATCGATGACATGCATCAACCAAGTCAGCGAGCCTGACCACCCGATCCCGTTAGTTGTCTTTTACGGCAAGCATGGGTTGCTGAAGACCTAATCTACCCGTGATATTCACGGGTCCTCTTTTGACGTCCAGTGCTAGACACAAGGCTCAGTATCGGATGTGACCCTTCCAGCAACGATGCAGGCACTAACACGACGTCGAACTGAGTATACGAGTCTCCTGACATCCTGATTTTTTAGAGATCCTACGCCGTTCTTTCTGCAGGGCAATTGCCAAGACATCCTTCGACAATCCTACGTCCCAGTTGGTCCCAGAGATGGTCTATGGGCGACAGGTCCGGTGATGTGGCTGGCCACTGTTATACTGTAAAACGGTCACGCTTTTGAAGTAATATACTTACACAACAAAATCTGAAATTATTAAAGATATATGATGAAAAAAAGATCAGGTGTAGGGAACAGTGAGGCAATCTTATGACAAAGGTGCAACACAGATCAAAATTATCATATTATAGGTGATACGTACACACAGTGAATGAATGTTTTTGGGGGTCAAAGGCAACACAAATCGAAAAATGTAAAGGATTGAGACTTTTCTTCAGGCACATACAGTAAAATATCGTGTCTGGAAACCTCACCTTCAATGTACTATTGTGGGCGTCCACACACGTACATAAAAAAACAACAACATAACACACGAACATAGATGAATCCGGATTGATCTGAGGATGTAGTGAAATGTTAACGGTTTATAACCTTACGTGATGTGCTGTAAGAATGGTAAAAACCCCGTTTGCTTATCAATATTGTCGGATTTAGTAACAGCTCAAACGTAAACCATATTCTTAGCAGAACTATTAGAGAATAAAAAACGTCAACGCCAGACAATAATCAGTCTCGCTTATCCATTCCATTGGGCGACAAAGGCGGCATTGCCTAAAAATCGGGCGGGGCCGGGTCGGGCTGGGCCAAGACGGCCAAAGTGTTATTGGCTAATTACTTCATTATCGGCGATCATACCGACATATTATTGATGCAACATACACACATGACATTACTGAACAATCACCAACCAAAAGCGTGCACCATAATTAAGTATTTCGGAGTTAGTCACTTGAAAACCAGAAAGTGGAGCTGTGTGTAAGCGTCGCTGGTCTAGGTAACATGTAAAAGAGCAATCGTGAAAACGAAATAAGATTTGAAAAGTATCAAATACTTCTAGCTATCGTGATACAAATTCCCATCTGTCAGCATAGCGTTTATATTTATAGGAACGTACTATATCTAAGTAAATACCACTTTATAATGTCACTGTTCATCGTATTTGAAGCAGACACATTGGTTAAAGTAGATCTCTTCTCCCGAAACTCTCGAAAGTCTCACAGGTGTTGGGTCCGACTTGGCCCGGGGTGTCAAAATCAACTGAAACCTCACAGATGTAACATGAAATGTATTCACACCAATAGATTAGTATCATATCTACCTAAATACCTCTTTATAGTGTCTCAGATCGCGGTATTTAAAGAAAACAAGGTGCTCAAAGTGAAGCCCTTTTCCCTCTACATTCTCAACATAGTCTCTGTCAGAAGTGTTTGGCTTGTGCTCGGCCCGACTTGGCCCGGGCTGTCAAAACCAACTCTTAACACACAGATGTATCTTCAAATGTGTTTACATCTATAGATCAGTGTTATATATACCTATATACCACTCTATAATGACATTGTGTGTCACATTTAAAGAAAACTGAACCGTTGAAGTTAAACTCTTTTACTTTATTTTCTTAAGAAAATCTCTGTCATAACTGTTGGGTCCGACTTGGCCCGAACTTTCAAAATCAAATTAAACCTCACAGATGTAACATGAAATGGATTCACATCTAAGGATTAGTATTTAATCTACCTAAATACCTCTTCATAGTGTCTCAGATCGCGGTATTTAAAGAAAACAAGGTGCTCAAAGTGAAGCCCTTTTCCCTCTACATTCTCAACATGGTCTCTATAGAAGTGTTTGGCTTTTGCTCGGTCCGACTTGGCCCGGGCTGTCAAAATCACTTTTAAACACACAGATGTATCTTCCAACGTGTTTACCTCTATAGATCAGTGTTATATCTACCTATATTTTACTTTATAATGTCACAGTATATCGCAATGCCTCGGTAATGCCTGGGCCATGACGACGCAAAAAACGGAAGAACAACAGGGCCGATGATCTCGTCGCGCTAGCGCTGTCCATTGAGATTTGCCTCTACCACTATCAAACGGGTCATCTGTCTTGCTGCTATCCCACGCAATACCATAACGCTACCGCCCCCGAACCGATCTTCTTCCATGACACAATGATGGACGTAACGTTCACCTCGACGTCGGTACATTCGAATCCTTCCATTGCTGTGGCTGAGGCGAAAACGAGATTCGTTGGTGAATAGAACTTGTCCCTACTGCGTGGCCGTCCAGCGTAGACGCTGTCTGCACCACTGTAGATGTGCTTGACGGTGGTTTCCTGTCAAAATGGGACGTCTGGCGGGTCTTCTGGCGACAATCCCTGCACATCTGAACGTACGGTTTGTGAAGATATTCGTCGAAGGCCAGGGATGCTTCTTGCAGTCACTGTTGCTAGCTGGAATCGATTTGATAGGTGTGTTGTTCGAATCCAGTTGTCTGGTCGATTATTGGTTATGCGTGGCCTGCCACTCCGAGGATGGTCTCTCATTGCATTCGTCTGTTGCCAACGTTGCAATAAACACCAAATGGTGTATCTGTGGACGTTAAATTGTCTTGCAACATTTCGTTGACTCGATCCTGCTTTAAGCATACAAATGGCTCGCAGACGCTCATTTTCGGACAGGCTTGGCATTTCGTAATGTTGTATAATTGCGTAATTTTGTTGTTTTTCTTAGTGGCTGTTGTCAGCACGATGCTAACAATGCATATGGAATCCCGTTAACGCACATGTTTATATACCCATTCTTGGCTAGGGAAATGCATGGAAAGCATGCTTTTCTGCGATTTTGTGACATGAGTCCATGCATGTACTACAATATTGAAAACCAAACGTTACTTGTTTGAAAAATACACTAAAATATTGTTGTCACAGGAACTTTTGTTGTTGAATATAGTATTTGGATTGAGGTGAGATGAGGTGAAAATGCGTTTAACGTCGCGTCCAAGATAATTGCACTTATATAGCAACGTGCATGCACGTTTGTGTGGCTGCTTGTACTAGTCCGGACTGATGTCGATTTATAGTGCTAGCACACTGAGATACCATGTCGCAGTTTAACATGAATACCCCACTAAGAGACAATATACTGACTCCGAGCCGACCAGTCTGTTTTAGCCTTTTAATGCTGAGCGCCAGACAGGGTAACAACAAGTACCATCTTTTAACGTCTTTTGGTATGACGCGGCCGTGGATCGAACGCCAAACCTTCCGCTCTCCGGGCGGACGCTCTACCACTAAACCACGGAGGCTTACCATATTTGGATTGAACAATCGACATATTATATTGAAATACACAT